GGGGGGTGCAAATCGAAAGTTTGTCCCCGGGTAAAAATTGGAACCCCCCCCTTGAGACGATCCTGGCTACGCCACTGATAAGAATGATTGAAGATTCAATTTAATGTACACAACACACGCATATTTTCTCATCAGAATGATTGAAAAACTTATACAGACAGTGACGATTTAAGAGCTGAGCTAACCTGGCTACTGTAGGGGGCCACTGATCTTTTAAATGCCCCGATTTTGTTCTCTAAGATAACGATAACAAAGTTAATTATTAAATCGATCTCTTTGTGCGCTAAATAAGGATTTAAAGAGAGGAACAAAGGGTGAAGCAAGTAAATCCTCCCCCCCCCCCTATCGGAAATTAGTTAGCCTCCTTTTACCAGTGTCACCCCCCCCCCTTCCCACACATACATACCTCTGAGAAAAAAGTCTGAAAGAAACACTGACACAACAGGCGCTCAGCGGACCCCTCCGTGTAGAATACCAACATTAAAGAGAGGAACTAAGGTTGAAACAAGTCAACCCCCCCCCTCTCCCTCCGAAATTATTTAGTCCTACTTACTTTTACCAGTGTCTAATAAAAGCAGATTTCCTTTTCAACTATATATTTAAAAACAAAAAAAAAAACAAAAAAAAAAACAAAAAAAAAACAAAAAAAAACACTTCTTTTTACTTTTTTTAAAAGAATATTAAAATCAGATCGATTCGTTTCAAAGCCATTTTACAATTCTAATGTAATTCGCTAATACTGTTCTAAGGATTATTACAGATAAAATCTTATTTGGACGGCCGACTTCGTACTGAAACTCCAATACTCGACGGCTCAATGGCCCCATTTGGTAAATACAAACGGGTTAGACTGCGTTCATCGTGGGCGTCATTTTTTGTTTCACCTAGTAGGCCAAATAAATGTGTCAGTGAATATATATATATATATATATATATATATATATATATATATATATATATATATATATATATATATATATATATATATATGTGTGTGTGTGTGTGTGTGTGTGTGTGTGTGTGTGTGTGTGTGTGTGTGTGTGTGAGTGTGTGTGTGTGTGTTTAAAATTAAAAAAGAAATAAAATAAACGTCTTTTTAGTGAGCCTGTTAAATTGCTAAACTTTTCATTATAATGTAATTCAATTATTGGTAACGTAGGCGTAGCGAGGGGGGGGGGGGGTGCGGACCGCACCAGGTGACACCATTTAGGGGGATGACACCAAGGCAAAACATAGCAAAATATATAGAGAAAAATTTGAGGGAGGGGGTGCAAATCGAAAGTTTGAGGGAGGGGGGTGCAAATCGAAAGTTTGAAAGTTTGTCCCCGGGAAGGGTCGCTACGCCTCTAGGGGGTGCCACCATTAAGTGCCGCACCGGGTGACACCCGACCTCGCTACGCCACTGCAGCCCCCCCCCCACCCCCACTACGTAGAGTATAGCCTCGCCCATGACTGCATTCATTTGCATTGCATTGTATTCCAGCTCATTAGCCTAAAAAAATGGTACGCGCTAAAGTGGGCTGAAGGTTATCAGTTCGGTGACATTTTCCACGACCGGTGTCTGCTAGACGGTTTTTTAAAAAACCATCTGTGGGAACCGTTGTAGCGGAACGAAATTGGTAACAGGTTGGATATTTATTTGTGAGTACGTATGACGTAGATACACATGGAAGAATTCGACGCATGTTTTTTTTTTTTCAACCCGTAGTGATGAATGTTTCAAAAAAGTGTTTCTTATTCTTTAAAGGACAGTTGACACATTTGGTTATTGGAAAGTAATGGACGGATTCCACACATGTTGAGGTAAAGTCATAAAACGAATAGTAAAAATAATTCACAAAACCAGTAACTTATCTAGGATACTTGTTGAACTGTGCTGTTATTCGTTGATGCCGCCCCCCCCCCTCCCCTGTCACAGCTGTGGACGAAGGCGAGGTTTTCCATTTCGAATGTCGCAAAACTGAGCTTTTAAATTTGTAATAAAATATGTGGAAACAATTTTTGTTTAAACCCTCTTTTCAAAATGCTTTTATAATGGGCAGGAGGGGAGGGGGGAGAGACACTGCCACTCACTCCATCTGAAAACGCAATGTCAAATATGGAGATCGTAACAGCAAAGGAATTTTAGTGGGAAATATGTTCGTAGAACGTTATTCTATTCACACAGAAATAGCATACAAAGAAAATAGATGTAGGAAGTTTGTTTTAAAGAATAAATACAACTCATTTCTATATTACGTCATTTTTAACTAATTTCTTGTGGCGCAATACGATATATTTTTTTTGACGATCTGTGACGTCCAGAGTTTCTTCAAGACATCTCTTCGGGGGGGGGGGGGGGGGGGCTCAGAACGAGATGGAATTTATATAGTAAACATATACTTTTACTAGTGTCCGCCACCCCCCCCCCCCCCACGGAAAATGTTGATCACCCCCCCCCCCCCGAAAATATAAAGTGCCCCCCCCCCCCCCGAGAAAAAAGTCTGGAAGAAACACTGGTGACGTCACATTTCAGCATTTCAAAGAGTCGCTATTAAAACGCTAGTTTTGTTATTACTACTTTGCCCTTTTAAAATACTTTTAAAACTTTTTATAAAAATAAAAGGGATATCTTGACCTAGTTTAAAAAAAAAATTATTAGATTTTGTGGTTTAAAAAAAAAAACATCCAAACATCGCAAAAAAAAAAATTGCTCCAGCAGTCAAGATCTAGATCTATGCTTTTAGGCAAGATAACGAGAATCTTCAGCATGGGAAGCAGCGACCTAATTAGCAAAATTATACTTGGTAACAGAGTTTCTTCCAGGCATCTCTTCGGGGGGGCGAAGCCCCCACGAAAAATTTTTACCGCCCCCCCCGAACGAAATGAAATTTATATAATTTATATAGAAAATATATACTTTTAACAGTGTCCGCCCCCCCGAAGAAAGTTTACCGCCCCCCCGAAGATTTCAAGTGCCCCCCCCCCCCCGGAGAAAAAAGTCTGGAAGAAACACTGCTTGGTAACCGGTGAAACGTGATATTTGATTCCTCTTAACCGATAACGCTCAGAACCTGACACACTATAGGAAAAAAAAAACTTGGTAAAAAAAAAATTAAAGTTCAAAATTTTGCTGATAACAGGATGTGTGAATGCGAAATAAAAGTTTCGCAACTTCCGGCTAAATTGAGAGCAGTGTATTTTTTCCAGACCTTTTCTCCGGGCAGGTGGGGGGGGGGGGTACTTTAAACTTTCGGGGAGGTGTGGGGTGGACTAAATTTCCCAGGGATGGGGGTGGGCACTGGTAAAAGTATATATTTTCTATATACATTATATTTCATTCGGAGGGAGGGGGCGGTAGACGTGCCTCCCCCGAAGATATGCTTTTCTGTCTTGATTTCCTTCCCAAAGATCGGTAAAATATGTTTTGTATTTATAAAACGGTGGCTGGGCACAGTGCTGAACTCACAACCCCCTTGTATGCCGAGGTCCTTGAAACAGACGAATTCTAATTCATCTGCCCATGTGTCTTGGGCGCGAGCGAATATCAAAAGATGATGCATTCTTTTTATATTTTTCTTGTTTGTTTTTTTTTTTAAATTTCGGCGAAACAGCAAATTTTCCGGTGGCGGACACTGGTAAAAGTAGATGTTTTCTATATAAATTCCATTTCGTTCGGGGGTGGGGGGGGGGGGGGGGGGGTTAGGGGGGGTGGGGGCGGGGTGGGGGGGGGGGTAGACAGTGTTTTTGTTGCTGTTACACAATCGATGTAGAAACAGCTGCCTTTGTCGTAGATCTATATTGCTTTAAGTAAGTCTTTGAGGTATAATTTAGTAATGCAGCTTAAAACGATGTTTCCTTATTTTTCTAACCCATTAGACGCCCCATTGTGTGGCAGAGTGAGCATCCCCTATGGCTACGCCACTGCGGGTGTGCTTGGCATCATTTATGGATGACCCCTATAGTGCGAAATGTGCTTGAAGCATCATGTCCAATGGCGTAGGCAGGGGGGGGGGGGGGTTAGGGGGGGTCATAACCCCCCCCCCCCCATAGACCCCTCGGTATATATATATATATATATATATATATATATATATATATATATATATATATATATATATATATATATATATATATATATATATATATATATAAAGTATGAGGGGGGTGCAAATCGAAAGTTTGAGGGGGGGGGTGCAAATCAAAAGTCTGAGGGGGGGGGGGGGGAATCGAAAGTTTGTCCCCGGGTAAAAATTGCCCCCCCCCCCCTTGAGACGATCCTGGCTACGCCACTGATCATGTCTACTATTATATTAATTCCATTATGGAATGACACAGTGACGTCTCTAGGTTGGGCGTCATCCGGTGCCGCCCCTTATAACAATTTTGCATTTTCGATTTGGTGTCACCCCTCTCCCCTTATTATTTTGCTATCTTAATTAACTAGATAAAACATTGTTTTGACGATACATATTTTAAGATTTTTCGTCGCGATGTCACAACTTATATTGTTTCACCCGTTGCGGGCCGCCCCCCTCCCCCCCCCCCCCTCTCCGCCTTGTAACGCCCCTTCGTGCAGTGTGGTTCATGCTTATGTAAGAAATTATAACAGCGTGTCGTAACAGAGACGCTTTTTTTTTTGCTTAGGAGAACCTAGCTCGTATATGAGAAACGAGCTCGTAAATTGACGCCAGAATATTCCATTTTCACCCGTCTTAACCAGAATTTTAATTAGAATTAACAGTTTTTCATTATTGATTATTTTATTCTCACCACGCGCTTCCCCTACCCTAGCTCGTCGTCACAAGTTGTGCACCTGACCACCCAGGTGTGTAGCTAAATTTATAGACTTGTGAGCATGCTAATTAATCTTCGTTTAATTACTAACTCCCCACTTTATGGCAAAAATCAACAATTTGATTTAGTTTAAGTTTTTCTCATAGGACTAGTATTTTACTGTCTTCCTAGCTTTTTACCTTCAAGGGTTTGTTAGTTTCTACAGGTAGGCTAAATCATACCTTGAAAAACCGAAGCGCCCTCTTGTGAACTCAGATAGCCCGGATGTGCATGAAGCCTAAAAACATGGCGAAAAGCCTGTTGCTGTATTGAAATAGCAATACTGAATACAGGTTATATTTCTTGTTTGCTGGTGAGAAATGTGCGTTCATAGTGTATATAATTTACTTAGTTAAAAAATAAACTGCTAAGATTGTTCTATGCTAAAGTTGTTTGGATAAGCCAAATCCATCTTCTTATTTTATTTTAACTTTTCACTTGCAATCGAAATTCCGGAAGTAAACTAAAAGATAAGAAGACTAACATCTCTAGTGTTGGCCCTACCTCTAGCTAGACTACGGGAGTCTAGTCTAGCCTAACGTAGACCTAGCTAAGGCTTGAACTAAAAATTAGATCTAGATCTAGACCACACCATTATCATGACAGGAATCTAGATTTTTTTCCTAAAATCCAGAACTCAGGAAAAATGGTTAAATTTCATTTATTTAGTAATCGATTGACCAGTGAAAACACAAATGAACTAGTCACACAGTCACAGGTGACTCAACCTGGAGTCCCCGGTATTGCCCACAACCCTGATGCGTTTACAATACACTACTAGATCTACGATAGATTATAGATCTATCTACTAGTTTACAGTTAGAGTTCACAGTTTAGTTGATAGCTGTGTGATTAAACATAAAACTAGGCGCAAAACTTTCAACTATAGACTATTGTTTGAAAATGTGAGTGCTTTTAAAACTTTAATTTATTTAGGCCCTAGGCCTAATAAAATATTTAACCATACTCAACAATTTATTGGCCTAATATTTTCAATAGGCCTTGATAGGGGGTCAGTTTAATTTACAATGTCTGATAATAATAGACTTCTGAAAATGGGTGTGTTAGCCTAAGTAATTAAAATTAAGTTGTAAGTAGTATAAGTATTGTAATCTCTTCTAGTTTTTATGGATAGATATTAGTAGTTATTAGTGTTAGGCGTAAGGTAGGACTAGGGTTGGGGATAAGGTTGCATTGATATCAGCAAGTCATGTGTTTTTCAACAAATTAACATAGTAAATGTTACATAGGCCTACATTCAACAGATCGCCAAAACAAAATTACAAATCCATATTACATTGTCCTTTTTTCAATTTAAAATGTTACCTACTTCAGTTGGTCATCTAAGTAGGCCTAAGTACTAAATTAGGCCTAGGCCTACTTATTATTAATAAAGTTATTATTAGGCTGTAGCCTAATGTTTATTTTATTTTATTTTTTTGTGATATTTGAACTTTTGATCTAATGCAAATATCATACTGCCTTATGCTATTTTAACACTACCTCAGTGAGGATAAGGTGTAATGATCACCCACTGAGTCTACTGTGTTTACAGCTGACCCTGAGAGACAACAAAACCAATAACACTTGCTTGTTTCTGGATCAGCTTATTTATTCATTGTATACAGAGAATTGCAATGTCCTGTACAATTGCAAGTACATAGATCAATAGCCCTAAAGTAATGTAAACAAAAATAGATTACACTTTGAATATACTACCACATGTATGTAGTCCTAAAATAATGTAAACAAAAATAGATTACACTTTGAATATACTACCATGTGTAGGTTATATCAAATACACTGGTGCTGAGCCTTACCAAAATAGCTTGGGGCTGCAAACAAATAAGGTTAAAGTTTAAATTATCCCCTTGACTGGTAACTCATTGTATGTAACATGTATTGTGTACAAAAAGTAGCTGGAGTTTTTTTTTAAAATTATTTTTTCTTCTCTTCTCAGATATTTGTGTGTGTGCTGTGAAGTGTTATACACTATCATGTTTGGTAAAAAGAAAAAGCCCAAGGTTGAGATTTCCTCCCCGTCCAACTTTCAACATCGAGTACACACAGGGTTCGACTGGGAGAATGGAGTCTTTGTGGGTCTACCTGCTCAGTGGGCAGGTATCATTGAAGGTAGTAAAGGCAGAAGGCGGCCTATTGTAGACCCATCAACTATAACTCAGACAGATGTTGAGCCGTTAAAGGTATGTAAATAAACAAAGAAGTATTAAAATTAATTTGATTTTACTCAATTAATACATTAGTGTAGCTTTAGAATTCACTGTATTAAATGCATGCAGGATTTAAAAATTAAAAAAAAAATGTATGTAATGTATCTTAACTGAATTTAATGAGTTGAAAAAATTTCTGGTTTTATTGATTATATAAAAAATATTTGCAGAAGTATAATAAATAAGATTATTGGGTTGGAAAACAAGAAAAAATCCAGAAGAAATTTATTACATTTTAATACAATAAGACTAAGGTTATTTATAAATGTATAAATTTTGTGTAAAGTTCAGGTTTATGATTATATTAAAAATATTTGCAAAAGTATAATAAATAAGATTATTGAGTTTGAAAACATGAAAAAATCTAGAAGAAATTTATTACATTTTAATACAATAAAACTAAGGTTATTTATAAATGTATACATTTTGTATTTAGACAATCATCAGAGGTCATCAAAATGGATACCCTCAAAGCATCAGTGTCGCCAGATCAAATTCACTTCGCCGTGAAAGTCCACCCCCTTACAGACGTCGTGCCCCAGGAAACGACTACCCCTCAGTCCCGGAGGACGATGTCCTGCCACCGAGACAGGACTTGGGCAGGCAGCCAGGTAACCAGCCTCCTCCTCATCAGCATTATCAACAGCAGCAGCCTCAAGGCTACAGGGACAATGTGGATCATCATGGGGAGTACCCCCGCGACAGAGACCCCCGGGAGCACGGCAGGTACCCACAGTCTCACCCCTCACAGCAAGAACAGGTTGACCCCCGCCTTACAGGATACTACGGAAGTATTGACAGACGCAGCGGAAATATTCCAGGTGCCCGGGATAAACGACCTGAATTTGATGCCAGAATAAATAACTCTTACGAAGCTCAGTCAAGGAATGACTCGTACGAAAGAGGACCACCTTCACGGCACAGTCATTACGATGATGACCGCTCCATACCAAATCATAACAACGACAGATTCCGTCAAATGCCCAATGGTCAGTCACACTCGCCACGGCACCAGAGCATCCCACCAGCTCACCATGACCCTAACTATGCCAGCATTTCTACACCGGCAGCACTGCAGTACGAAAGGGTTAGTACACGTCGCAGTTTACTTAATCTTTTCTCTCTACCGTCATTGCCTTTATCATTCAAATACATGTCACCTTTTACTTACTTTACTGTTATTGCCAATATCATTCAAATGCATTTCACCATTTACTTACTAAACTTACTTTACTGTCATTGCAAATATCATTCAAAATAATTGGAAGCCCAACTCCTTGTAACAATATCAACCTTGTTAACACATAACCCTACAATATCGGGGTATAACATTTTGCTTCTAACTCAATATCCATGGTTTTCATGAAATACTATCATCTTATAGTCTGTGTTTTGTACTTGAGAGAACTGTAGTACACCACCATCCTTTTTCAATGGCAGCAGTATCTTGTGTTAATGTTATCCTCAGCTATTGTGACTTGGTAGTCTCTATGTGACTGTGTGTGTGTATTCCTGCCACGTGATTGTTGTCAAGCTGTGTGAAGCCTTAGTGTTACTCAAGAAATGGTTCTCATACATTAATATTGTATTACATTGTCTACTAACAGGAAAAGTTCCCATGTTAAATATCATACACACCTTATCCTGGCTGCTAACTAAAGTTATATTTACTACATACAGTGTCTGGGAGTTAAATCTTTGGTTAAGTCTCTAGTAGTATATGGCCCATTTCAAATTGTCTTCTTCAAATTATAACACTTCATCTTCTTGAATTGTTTCAAGTTTGTTAATGTGTGGGTGAAAAAACATTAAGTTGGTCTATGTAATTTTAAGAATAGTGATGTTTGTGAAACCAATGACATATGAACATTGTACTTTCTGTAATAGCCTACACTTTCACCAAGATTCTGTGTTTGCACTGTTGAACTGCTACACTCTTGCCTTTTGTGCTGGCACCTGGGTTGTGTTTACTCCACTGTCATTTCTGAGCAATTTGCCTTTTGTTTATAATTGATGAGTTTTACAAGCAAAATTTATCAGAATGGTGTTACAAACTAATTGCATTACATACTATTTTAATCAGTTTTAAAGTTTAACTTATAATAACAAAAAAAGAATAATGTTTGAGTTTGCAACAAGTTGATTCTAGAAGCATGAGTTTTAGCATCAGTTTTACTATCTCTAGCAAAGCATGATAGACTCTATCATGATCTGATGTTTAGTGTTTCTGCATGCTTCATTAATCTTGATAAAATGGGCTAAACCAGACATAGTAAGCCTCACATAACATGGCATGTGCCTTCGCAACATCTGTTGTTATACTTGTTTTCACAGCATCTGTTGTGATACTTGTTTTCGCAACAAATGTTGTGATACTTGTTTAGCAACAAATGTTGTGATACTTGTTTTCGCAACAAATGTTGTGATACTTGTTTTCGCAACAAAAGTTGCGATACTTGTTTTCGCAACAAATGTTGTGATACTTGTTTTCGCAACAAATGTTGTGATACTTGTTTTAGCAACAAATGTTGTGATACTTGTTTTCGCAACAAATGCTGTGATACTTTTTTTCGCAACAAATGTTGTGATACTTGTTTTTGCAACAAATGTTGCGATACTTGTTTTCGCAACAATTGCTGCGATACTTGTTTTCGCAACAAATGCTGCGATACTTGTTTTCGCAACAAATGCTGTGATACTTGTTTTCACAACATGTCTTGTTAAACATTTCTAAAAATGTTCAATGTTTGCTGGACTGGCTAGTACCTATGTCTGGTTCAGTAGCTTCCATTTGATGATGTAAACCTACCTTGCTTGGCATCTTTGTTCTCTCCCAACACGTAGCACCACAACGACCACCCACACCAGTCGCCCGGTGGATACCCCTACGGAGGAGGCCAGGCCAGCCCCATGTCCAGCCCTCCCCATTCCCCAAACAGACCGCCTTATTCCCAGCAGTCCTCACCTTCCCTGAAATCCCCCAACCGGACACAGCAGCAAGGCCCTGGTCCAGAGCAGCAGCGTTTGTCTCATGAAGAGGTTTGGAAATGTTTTGTTATCTTGTGCCCTGCATGCCACCTCAGCTTGTCTCACACATGGCCTTGGGCAAAACTTTTTTTTTATCTTTGTAGAAAGTGTTAATTACAGTAATTAAAGAGTTGTGTGTTAAATTAACTTAAATATTCCTTTGTTGAAGGTGACACCTGAATGCTACTGGGTGCCATTAGACCTAGCTAATTTGTTTTGCCCAAGGCCACCACTGTTTTCAACACTCCTTACTCACTGCAATTTTTTAAAAAATTGCTGTATAATTGCATGTTGTCAGTGCATGTTGATCAATAAATCATCATCACAGAACATTTTACTAATTCATTTTACAAACCTCTCAATATTTCTGTTGATAATTAGATACTGCATTTAAATTATATTTTAAATCAATATCAAAATGTGTAATCCCTACTCGGACCATGCCATGCCCTCATGTGGATTAATTTCTTTAAATGCTGGCTCTAAGCTAGCCTGAATCAAAATTTCTTCTTTGTGTTTCAACACATTCTTTGTCACAGCTGTTAAAAGTGGGTCACAGGTTAATTAGAAAATGCTGATTAGACACAGTGTGCTGAAGGAATGTTATTTAAAAATAAATTAATTTACAATCTAAAATAAAAAATAAGCCACCTTCTAGGTATGCTGGTATAACAAGTCTGTCAGTGATTTATTCTCTCCTGATGTAAAAATCATTGGTTAACTTAGTTGCTTAGAAGATATTTCAGTCTTGCATGGTTAAATGAATCGCATTTTGTTTAGAAGCATCTTGACAAAGTAGAATAAAAAGCAATCATATAAGTTCAACTTAGTTTTTTAGGTGAGATTTCTAGCCTTTCAAAACAAATAACCTTGTCATGAAATGAGCATAAAATGTATGTGAATGCTTCCAGTTCCGTAGAACATTACAGTATGTTGTGAACCCTGGAGATCCCCGCCAGTTTTTAGAAAACTTCTTGAAGATTGGGGAAGGTTCCACTGGCATTGTCTGTACAGCCATGGACAGATCACGGGGGAAACAGGTCGCTGTGAAGAAAATGGATTTAAGGAAACAGCAGCGCAGGGAACTGCTCTTTAACGAGGTAGGTTGTCAAATGTACTCGTTAAGTTTGAGTAGTTTTCAAACCATCCTAAGGTTGTATGAAGTGATGTCAAATGGTTAAGTGCTCAGCAACTTACTATAAAGACTTGAGTGTAGAAGTCCATGACTCCACCCAGTTGTGGAGGGTACTGACTACAATTATTGAAAGTAAAGGCATTTGGGCAAAGTGCTGAGCACACAAGACCTTGATATGCCTTGTAAAATGAATAGATACTTGTACTTCGCTATGGACCATTCAGTTCAACTCTTTAAGCCCGTTTTTTTTTTCACGTTTTACCGGTTACTCTTTAAGCCCGTTTTTTTTCACGTTTTACCGGAATTATTTTTATTCACTCAGTTTTTTCACTTCTCCTGCAATTAAACAACTGTACTGCGTAGTTTCAAATACAAGTCTATTAAAACACTTTATAATTAGAGAAATATCTACTTTTATATTGCTAAAATGTCTTAAAATAAAAGCAAAACTGTATGCTGTATTTTATAAATGATTTTAAATTATTACAGGTGGTTGTGATGAGAGACTACCATCACCCGAATATTGTGGAGATGTTCAACAGCTACCTAGTGAATGATGAGTTGTGGGTTGTGATGGAGTATATGGAGGGGGGAGCTCTGACTGACATTGTCACACACAGCAGGTAAGTCTCATCTTTTTTTTTTGTTCATTAGATTTTTAAAGTGTGCACTATTTTCATCTGATTTTTATAGTTTTTAACTGATACATTTTTCCAGTTCACCATTTATTTTTATTAATATCTTCTTACCAGCTATTTAATTTAGAGACCAAAGTGTAGTTATTTGTTTTATTGACTTTTTGAAATTTGAAGAAAAAAAAATGGTGTTTCAACTTATGTTGTTCTTTTGGTCAGAATGGATGAAGTTCAGATAGCAACTGTGTGTAAAGCTTGTCTGAAGGCTCTGGCCTTCTTACATAATCATGGAGTAATACACAGAGATATCAAGTCAGATTCAATTTTATTGTCCTATGATGGGAAGGTAGGTCTCTGTTTTGCTGTGTGTTTAGATATACACTCTTGTTGGTGACATTGTAGTCTTACTGTTACATATATATATATACTTAACTGATTTACTCAAGACTTCTGTCATTTTAAGATTTTTCATGTTTAAATACAGTGGTTGGACAGCCTCTGGAAATTCCAGGAGGTCCTGAAAAACTGACGAAATTTTTTTTAATTCTAAAAACCTGGAATTCTCATAAAATTTAAAAAATAGCAAATTTAAAAAAAATCTTATGGAATGTTATCAAACGAAAAAAAAATACTGTAATTTTTTATTTTGTTCTGCCAATTGGCGAGTTGTGTTAAAGGATGGGTGAGCAGAAACGACACATTTCTACATTTGCATCCACTAGGCTTCTGTAGATAAGAAATTCAACTTTAAATGGGCAGCCATGCGTGCAACATAAACAGTTCTACAGTATCAGATGGTTTCATATAATATTATTGGACAGAGTTTTTACAATCTTATTTACAATCCATATTGTTATCTACCAGGTAAAGTTGTCAGATTTTGGTTTCTGTGCACAAGTAACACCAGACCTGCCAAAAAGGAAATCACTTGTAGGGACTCCATACTGGATGGCACCAGAAGTTATCTCAAGGTTGCCTTATGGAACAGAGGTCTATTGTTTTTTCAGTATATTATCATTTTCTTTTTAGTTTGTTTATATTTCTGTTCCCTTCAAAACATACTGAATTTTTTTTTTATTAGTATTGGTACCTCAATCTGTAACACCAATACCAGCAAGAAGAACCTTGATATCATTCTGATTTGACTTTCTGTATTTTATACTACAAAAATTTCTTTTTTTTAACTGTGGTTCAAATTAAATTATAATTACCAGCTAAAAATATACGATGTATTTTTATTTTTACTTGTAGGTTGATATTTGGTCTTTGGGCATCATGGTAATTGAGATGATAGATGGGGAACCTCCGTTCTTTAATGAGCCACCCCTACAGGCTATGCGACGCATTAGAGATATGCCCCCACCGAAGCTAAAAAACACACACAGGGTAAGTTCATATTTTTATTATAAATGCTGCAAAGTTGATCTTTCAATAGTTCTGATATGATATTTATCTGAAAATATATAAGTTAAGATGCATTAGATTCATTTATTGAAGCTCACCTCCATGCCCACCTTCTTCTTGATTAAATGCAATGTTCTTTAATGAATGTGTTTCCCGTAGGTGTCTCCACGACTGCAAGGTTTCTTGGAGAGGATGCTGGTTCGAGACCATTCACAGAGGGCCACAGCACCAGAGCTGATGCAGCACCAGTTCCTCAGGGAAGCTGGCCCACCGTCTTGTCTCGTCTCATTGATGCGCACCACTCGGCACAGCCCGTGTTAGGGTCAGTTCAGTCATGTGGATAGTATTAAGTCAAGCTTGCAAAAAAAAAAAAGGCTGCATTTTTCTGAGAAATGAAATTTAAAAAAAAAAAACCCAGTGTTGTTAAATTACCCAATCAAATGTAACAAAGGAGACGGGATAGCTGTGTCCCCTGTTTTGATTGGCCCATGTGTCACTACCCTGTGGCGAGTCATAATACGTCAGCAACTAAATAAACGTTAATTTATATTCTATGCATCTATATTGATTCATATACTGCCAACTATAATCACTTCAGTTCGATGGAAGTATTGTTCTAATTGACTGTGTGATAGGCAACAGTACACTTTTTCATTTGGTTGTTTAAAAATAAAACTTATTTGTGACTGGTGTTTGTAAAAATTATTTGAGCGTCCGCAAGAATTATTTTTTATATAAATTAGTGAATTCTAATTTCAATATTTTTATATAAATGCTAATTTATTAACATGTATGTGTAAGCCATTAAAGAATATTGTTTCAATATTAAAACTAAAAACTAATAATGCTATTCAATTAACCTTTACCTATATTTTTTTGTTTTCAATATTCTAAGCTTATAGAATAGTGCAGCTGACCTTTTACTTCATTCTTTATCACAGAAAAAACCTATAGTTAACTCCAGCCAGAGCTTTTTAACTTTAATAGTTGGTAGCAGTTTTGGGTTTAGTGTAGAGTAACTTTATTTTTAATTTATTGTACCAGTGTCCAATGATGTATGATATTCAAGAAAGTAACAAGAATTTAAAATACAAAACTTTTATTTTCTTTGATTTTTATCCTTAAATGTTTAGTATGTAAATATTAATACCTCATCTCTTGTGTTAGGGTTTTGTTTCATGTTTGTGAACACGAGTTTGACTGTTGTAGCCTATTAAACCAGTGATTCATGTTTTTTTTTTTTTTTTTTTTTTTTTTTTGCTGCTTATCTTTCCCATTCTAAATATACATTTTATTTTCTCTCACCTTTTTATCGTCCCAAAATAATTTTTTTGTATTCCGCTGTATTTTTAATGTATGTAGACTTAACTAAATGTAGTCGAGAATATAAAAAAAAATTGGACTGAGCTTCAGAAATCAAATATTGTCTGTGTGCTCTTTAGCCTCTGTGTGCATCTATTGACTTCAGCATTCCTTGCTTTATACATTACCATGTTCAGTTGGATGACAAGTTGCGCTTGTTGTTATCTTTTTTTTTTTTTAATATACTAGCTTGTTCAAAACATAGCAGAGCCATAAACTGATATTCCTAACTGTTGCCTTTTATTGATGTAAATACTGAACAAATGTGCAGGCATTGCTTGCAGATATCTATTTATATAGTTTTCTTTTTTTTTTTTTTATCTTTCTACTTTACATGAATTTTTATAACCAGCTTTTGTTTAATGGTGTTAGTGATGTATCTTCTCTAGATCATATAGAGTAGTATGTTGTGAGGTATGAGTGAATCTGTAAAGAGAGGTGCTTGAGTGAACTGGTGTAGTTTTTTTTAATCATCCAGTAGTGGTTCTCAAAGTACATTAGGGAATACATTTTTTGTGACCCTGTAAATTTATAATTTACTTTTTAAAATTTTGATCCTGACACTATTGAATATTAATTTTTTCTTTACTTAATTTAACGAAAACAAGTTGTGGTACACTTGTGTGAACCTCTGTTGGGTGTATTCACATTTTAAAAAATTGACACAAATTTCTGTTAAAACCTAAACAATTTTTTGCTTTCCAACTAAAAAACAAACAAACTGTGTGCTAGAGTGTAAAGTAGTGTCTTAATCTAGCTAAATTAATGCATGCTGTTTTATGTAGGTATTATAGAGATCTGAACATTTTTTTTTTTTGCAGTGGTTATTGCCCTTACCTTGACTATCCCAACAAATTGAGATTATCTCCCTTGTTTGACTATTTTTTTCATCAAATGCTTCAAATAATTGAGCAAACTGTTAATAGCTGTATATACTCACCACACTTGTCTGTTGTTTTGTGTACATTCACATAGAATCACATGTTGATAGAAAGATAAACAGCCTTACTGCCTGCAGAGATCACTCAGTTTTGATTGTAAATAAAACCAATGTTCCACTCATTTTTTTTTAAAACATCTGCTTTTGGTTATGATTCTTTTTCTAGGGACAATCTTTGCTGCAGGCAGCTATTTTAAAACTTTTTAATGGCTATTGTGGTTCATTTATTTTTTTGGTTAAATTAGTGTTTATATTTCCTTTTGTGAGCAATAAGAACCTATAAATAGGATAACTACATTTATACAATTTTTTAAATGTGTGTTTGTATTAAAGTTAATTCAAACACTTGCAGTTTATTTAAAAAAAAACTACTTTATAACAGAAGGGCCTGCTCATTTCAATACTGCCTATGCAACAAAACTACGAGAAATAATTTTAGTTTAAAATGTTCTCACAACTCACATAACTAGTCAGTTGTGTACATCTTCTTGGTATGACCATGTCACTATTTATATGATTGTCAACCTATTTTAGATGTAGGTAATGAGATGACTTGATGCAGCTGTAGCGGGGGGGATGGGGGGATAAGTTACACCTTCATGGTAGACATAAGAGGCTGTTGTGACCCATTCATATAACTTGTGGTGAGCCACTGGGTTGTTGTGTGGTTAGTTATAAAATTTGTGACCTTAGCCAAGATTTTTGTGTGACCCCCCTAGCCAAAATGACTGTATCCAAGGCTAAGGTTGTTATTACTCATTTTAAGGTTGTTGCGACTCATGGTAAGGTTGTTCTTACTCATGGTAAGGTTGTTGTGACTTATACTAAGGCTGTTGTGACTATAGTTCGTGACAGAGGCAAAAGGATGTTTTGAGCTTACTAATGTAATTTTGACTAGCCAGTGACTATTGTGAGTCTAATTAAAATAATTTTAAAAACGTAAGCGAATTTGTTGTGACCCGCTTAGGTTTTGTATAACCTAAGCTGAAGTTGTTGTGACCTTATCTCATCATTGTGACAGGATTTTTATGTAGTATTATATTATTTAACCACTAGCCTGTTTGACTGGTGACTGAGTAGGTAGGAGGGGGAGGTGTAAATAAACAGATACTTAATGTAGATAAACATTTTGTGATGTCCTATGGTCAGTGTTGGCTGGAAACAGCTGGTGTCTAGCAGTGATGGTCATGTCAACTCATAGTTTTATCATGTATTCATTCCCATGTATAACTGATATAGATACATTTTAATAAATTGTATTTTTATTATAGCCTTCTGCTTTACTTATTAGTGCATAATCCTTGAATGTATGTATGTGTTTATAAATAAATATTTATATCCTATGTGTATAAATATATATATGATATATGATATATATATATATATATATATATATATATATATATATATATATATATATATATATATATATATATATATATATAAAGCACTTGGATGTAATTTTAAGTTCAACAAAATAGTGGTTAATATGGTGATAATCTAGGTGTATACATTTGTACTGGCCAATGTGGCAAGTTAAAGGACTTGATGAATTGTGCATATTATTAGGCCATTTCTTGACACCCCCGCATCTTAACATAAATAAAATGTACATAGGCCACCACCCTTATATTTTGTTACCCTTCTACACACACATTTTGAAAACATTGGACCACAAAACATACAGGAACAGTGGTTTATAGAAAATAAGTAAAGAACTTTTATTAAACGGGGGGGGGGGGGGGGGGGAGGGGGGGGGGGGGGGGCGAAAACCAGGAAATGAGTCATGATGACCTCAAAATGATTGACTTAATAACAAAGAACACTGCTTTTGACCTATCAGATTATCCCCCCCCCCCCCCCCCCCGTTCCCTTGTGTGATATGCATACAATCCCCAATAATTTGATGGACAGATTATTATATACGTTAAAGCGGTGAAGCTTTTGCCATGGGCGTCTGCCCCCATACACTAGTGACTGTTCACATAGGCCAGATAATTATGGTGATCTGACTAAAAAAATTCCCTACCCGCTCGCAATGTTTATTTTTGGTGTTTTTTTTAGTAGGCGTGTCCATTATCGATGAGCTGTTCCTGTGCGTCAACACGTTTCTAAAATCACGACAAACGCGAGCGTTCGATGTCTGGCTGACGTCATCGATCCTTCTTATCGCCCATCCCACTGACCTAGTAACCATGTGCGCCCACACTAGAGGTCAAAGTGGGCTAAACTATGACATAACCTCATCTCAATTTATTTCACGTGTAATTAATATCAATTAATATTAAAATAATAAAATATACTTAAACTCATAACGAACTTATGTCTGATAAAATTTCGGATTTATTTTTGTTGAGACTATAAGTTTTAATATTTAATAATCAATTTTTATATCATTATCTTCAGAGTTACCGCCCCTGACACAATCCTGCAAGCGCCATTGTTTACGTTAGAAACGGAACCGCATTGACTTACGCCTGCCTGTTGTTTATGTTTATAATATTGTAGTGTATTGTTAGGTTTTAGCGTTGATTTATTGGCTGGCCCATGACACTCCTGAATACACGCCGTCCATAACGACACGGGGTTGCCAAGCCCAATGTTTTAACAAATATGGTAGCTAATATTTATCAACGGATTAGTAGACCCCTTCCGCCCCCCCCCCTGTTCTACCTCCCCCCTCCCCCATGTTGCTAACGTCATAGTCATTACTTCGTTCAACAGTTGCATACTTTTTTTTTACTGGTTTTATGAATAACCCCGTTTTAAAGTGCTAAACAAAATAATGTTTTATTTTTCGTTAATTTTTTTTTTTTTTTTAATTTAAAAAAAAAAGATGCGTAAAATGTTTGCAATCACTGCTAGGAAGCGGATAGTAATTTCCTGTTGAGTTTACCGCATACCTACCCTGTTCGTAGCTCGTGCCTCTTAGCATAGCGGAACTGATTGCCACGTCACTCGGAAAGTTTGGAAAAAATTGACACTCCCCTTTTTCTTATCTTTAACTACGCAAATTAGAAAAAAAAAGTGTTTATGAGTTTAAAATACCGTATAAAAATTAGATTGGGGTTAGGGCAAAGGATCAAAATGTTTTATGTATTTAGGTAGGATAAAGGATCAAATTGATTTACTTATTTCTGTAAAAGCCATACCTAATTTAGAAAAAAAAAATATATTAAAAATGTATCAACATTGTTTTCTACACACACACACACAAAATATGTTTTGATTACCCATGGATTTATAACTTTTAATAAAAATGCTTGTAAAAAGAAAAAAAAAGTACGCCCAACGTGGGGCTCGAACCCACGACCCTGAGATATTAAGAGTCTCATGCTCTACCGACTGAGCTAGCCGGGCTTGCTAACCTGAGTAAGAACGTTAGATCATATTGATAATTTCCTTAATTGGCCCTGGTATACTATCACGTTTTAATTACTATCTAGGAGGATGAGGAACAGTGTCATTAACATCGCTAATTATACTGACGGTTTAGTCGGCTTAGTCGGCCTCTTAGATAGAGACTCTATCGTTGGGCCTATTTCAAAAGTAATCGGATGGGGGGGGGGGGGGGGGGGGGGGTGATGCGGACACTGGCGATTGGGGATGGTAGATGTGCTTTGGGGGGGGGGGGGGGGGAGGAGGGGGGGACACTGGTAATTGGGGATGGTAGATGTGCTTTTGGGGGGGGGGGGTGATGAGGACACTGGTAATTGGGGATGGTAGATCTGCTTTTTTTTGTGGGGGGGGGGGGGGGGGAGGGGGATGGGGACACTGGTGATTGGGGATGGTAGATGTGCTTTGGGGGGGGGGGGGGGAGGAGGGGGGGACACTGGTAATTGGGGATGGTAGATGTGCTTTGGGGGGGGGGGGGATGAGGACACTGGTAATTGGGGATGGTAGATGTGCTTTGAGGGGGGGGGGGGACGTCGAGCTGGTTAATATAGGCCTACAAATTATAGGCCTATACTAAAAAGTTTCTTTTCGTTCAGGAGGGGGTAGGGTGACGGTAAACCTGCTTCTGGGTTTGTGTGTGTGTGTCGGGGGGGGGGGGGTGGGGGTGGGTGGGACGG